CCCCCCCCCCCCCCCGTAATTAGATTCTATACACGGAAAATTATTTTTTAAATGATCAATATTCAAATATTGGGGGGGTCCAACTCTTAAATTTAGAGTTGTCTTAGATTCAACTAAGTACAATATTTAATATCACTGGTAATCTTGTGTACCTGATGGTATGATGGTAAAACTTGAGAAGATTAGAAATCTTGTACAACAAAACTGCTCCTGGTTCAGCTACAATCACCTGCTCAATTCTGACCTGTGGAACGAAAAGAATCCAACATGTTCAGTTCAACATATTCTGAAAGCCAGTCTTTTTGATTTTACACACACAATAAAGGTGGCATTCATTGAGAAATAACATTTCAGAAGCATGAAAAACTGTACTTTCCACCTCAATTGTATGATTTCTCTTAAATCAAAGTTTCTTGGCTGGAAGCTGTTGGGCAGAAAACAAGTAGGTGCATTACTTTAGAACTATCCCATTTCCCATAGAGTTTTGCATGAAACTTGCTTGTTGCTGAAAATGTTAATCTAATGAAATCATTTTGTGGATTAGCACCAGCACATGCTGGAATTCTACTCAGTTCTGAATAGCATGGACAGCTGCAAAATCTATGACCTACAACAGAGGATCACTGGCAACATGAAAAGACTCTGAATACCCAGAATATCAGGCATTCTATTGACATTTTAAGATTGACCTGATTTAATCTCTGTGTTAACGACCTGTAACCAATTCTTTATCCTGAAACTACTGGGACGTAAGCAGATATATTTAAAACGCTAATACAAAAGTAATCAGAACTCTTGGGAAGGTGATAGCTTTTATTAGACCAACTAGATAGTTGCAAAAAATTCTTTATTTGCAAGTTTTTGGGTACACATGACCTTTCTCAGCTATAGGAGAGTGCAACGACTGTAAAATTTCTCCCAGGTAGAAATGAAAATTCATATTTCACAGGCGAGTTGAAAGGTGGTATACGATCTCTTGCTGGGAAAAGTTCATTTTATGCAAAACAGGCTCAGGTAGAAGTTGGAGTTGCTTTTATTTAGTTGGTCTAATAAAAGATACCACCTCCCCAAGAGTTCTGATTACTTTTGTCTGCAGAACAACACAGCTACCACCTGTATCCCTGGAACACTAATACAATGAAATCATTAACGTGCTCACTAGGCCAGGAGATATTGAATTAATAGAACAACACGGTTAACTTCCTTAACACCTGCACAGCTGATGTGCCGTCTGTAGGTACATGCTGTCTGAACAATCATAAAAGGACTGTCCCAGCAGCAGGAATAGTTACCTGTGTTAGCCTGAAGTCAAGCAGAAGGCAGGGTAGATTTGCACCATATATATAAATCTATAATTTAGTTAGTCTAGCACAAGCTTTCGTGAGAGTAGGGTGTCAATCTTTAGGTATTCATAAAGCAATAAGGACCACTGATTATTACACCCTCATTCCTGCAAGTCCTGGACTTACTGACAAATTGCTGCCCATTGCCCACCCTTCCAAGTTATTTGTCTGCTACTCAATATAGCACGTCAGTTAACTTTATCTGTTGAGCCAGCTGCAAAGGGAACTAAACCAAGCTTATGCATTCCATATCCATTTTACTTTGCAGAGACCAAAAAAAGCAGTGCAATACTTAACACTTACACCTGTGAAGCAAAATTCTTCAATTAATCCTCAACTGCCATACGCACTACACACATGCATGCACACACACAGATTTCCCCATTTTGCATTGAGATGATCAAGCAGAAAGATTAAGAGAATTAACTGCCTAAGGCACTTAACAGGTTGGGGAAGAAAACAGGTAGGAGGGATGTGAAAACCCCCCCAAAATGTAGTTGAATAGGAAAAAAATGAAAATAAAGGAAACTGGAAAAAGTAAAAAGGAGACTATAACAAGATGAATGGATTTTCTGAAAGATTCAGAGACTCAAAAATGTTAAATGGGAGGTGACAAGTGATTAAAGAAGCAGAAACAACAGAGGTGGCTCAAGCACTGATGCTTCCTAGAAACCCATCCTCTAAGAATTATGCTGGACACCAATATCATGTTTGGAAGCAAATCACAGAACATTTATTTAAACCTTGCTGTTTTGCTACAATAAAACCCAAGCTCCACATCTTTCCTTGTACAGTTTGCACTTGTTTGCAGTAACACCTGATAATGTGCAACAACCTCTTAACAACAAGAGTCTGCAGGGATCATTTTCTGTACTTTATGACATTCCCTATAATAGTAGCAGTCTCTTAGGAACAACAGGACACCTTGCTGCTACTAATAGGCATAGGCTGTATTGCTAGAGGCAGGCTGACATGCATGACCCTCACCCCTTGCTAATTATTATTATTTTTTGTTGTATGAGGAAAGATAAAATACTATGAACTCTATATTCATATGTCTTGAGTAAAATGTCTAAACCTTTTAAATACGAAGCTTTAACTATTGTGTGATTAATATCATTCTCATCTACAATGCAACAGAAGTATTTATCATTTTAGGTCAAATTTTCAACCTTCATTCAACATTCATTCATATTTAGACATCTAAATAGAAGTGGTCTTATTTTCAGTGATGGCAAGTACCCCCAACTCCGACTTAAGCAAAAAAGTACTTGCAAGTGATCAGACACTGTCTAAATTTAGGTACTCATCTTTGAAAATAGTAGTCTGTATGATGTTAAGTACGATTTTATCATGAAGAAATGGGGACAATTCCTATTTACACATAATTAAAACATTTCTTCAAAAATAAGGAAATTCAAAGGCTGGCGATATCCTTATGGGGACATTTAAAGCATTAAGAAAGCCATATATTATTCTCCACGTATTCAGATGTGACCACAGAAGTAAAGACCATCTTAAATAACTGTTATGCTAGCATGTAAGACTTAAATGCTTAGAGTGGTGGTATAATATATCTGTTTCATTATAAAGCTAACTGGAAGTGAAGATTTTACAAATGTCCACTGCAGGTCCCCAGCAAAATAATAGCTTACTGTGGTGTCACACACAGAAATATACAACATTTTGTTCTAAAGTCATTAGGGCAGTGATTCTCAACCAGTGACAGAGACTGGATGACTCATTTCCATGTGCCAGATCTGGCTTGCAGACCATGTTTAATTCCATCTTACAGCAAATGGGTTGCAGTTATTTGCTGTCATTCTGTGTTATTTGTTTGGGACTTAAAATTTCCCCAGGAGAAACAACAGGTACAGGAACTCTGACAACAATTTACAAGGTTCACAAGATTGAAGTGCAAGCTCCATTATAACTTGCAGTATAATACAATCGGATGATCCACAGCTTTCTATTTAGCTTAGCAAGTTTTGGAAGGGTGGCAACCTTTCATACTACTGAAGATTTTTAGGGTGTCTCCACAGGTACTAGATATCAGAATGTAGTGATTCCCAGCCAGGGTGCCACAGCACCATAAAATATTAGCACTGTTAGGTGTGTAAACACTTGCACATGATTCACAAGATAAACTCAGAGGTTTCAAATAGAAAGACACAATGACACCAATGATCTGTCCCACAGTATTTTTTTGAGTTCTCTGCAAAAGTAGCATTGTTCTATTATTTTTCTGCAGTCAAAAGATGAGTGAAAGCTAACAGCTGGCATTTTCTGAGAGGTGTTCTGAATCTAAAAAAAGTTAAAAACCATTTCTACCTTGTACAAAAGACATAGAAGTGAAGAAACCAACACTAATTTCATAAGATACCAAGCTGTATGTGCAAAAGTCACCTGTAGTGAAATCCTATAGCTCTACTGAAGTCAGTAGCAAAATTCCTATTTACTTAATAAGAAAAAATATTTCACCCGATTACTTCTATACATTGCACAGCATTTTCAAATTAAAATAAGAACATTCTATATAATATAGTCCAAACATACCAGACAAATACATAATATTGATAAAATATTTTCTAGAAACCAGTGGTGATAATTTGACTTGTATAGGTGCTAGCCATTAAGCAGGTAAACAGTGAAAACTGTGAAATGAGATCATAGTGCTTTCTTGCATTTCTTTTACCCTACCTTGTGATCCTTGGGGGACATTGACACATTTCATCTATATCTTGAAATGATTATCTGGAAATATACTCAAATGGTTATATCTACCAAATGATTTCCTAGTACAACCTTTTTTAACAGACCAATGTTCTCTACCAGGTCAAATAAAATTCCTTAAAATATCATCACATTTGTTTTTATAAACACGTTAGCTTCTAAAGTGATATATAAGTATGCCTTAGTACATTTTCTAATATTAATTTAGTACTTCCTCATGTTACACAGTTATATCATTAATTAGTAATATGAATACTAAAATACCCTTTATCTAGTATTTCCCCTGAAATTATTTTGTATTCAAAGGTAAGAAACACACTACTATAAAAATCAGTTAAAGTTTTCTTTGCCTTTCTAGAAGGAAATAGAACACCATAACTAACCTTTACTAACTGTAAAGGTAATTACAAATTTAAACCTTGAATTTAACTGCCTTTGGAGGGGGTCAGAAATGCTTCAGAATTTAGTGCCACTGAACCACATATACAGAGAGAAAGGTGTTCTTATATCCATGTGCTATAACATCTTTAATGCATAAAATCCCTTAATATTTAAATTATGTATACATTTACTCTTTACAACATAAATTATCTATAATTAAGAGATGTATGAAAAGTTGCTGTTTGTAATGTACACAATTGAGTTTGGATATGTGTATCACACACACATACACATATAAAATACTCCACCTTTAAAGGTCTGCAGACACCTTCTGTGATATGCCCAACTACTTCTTGAATATTTTCTTCCACACCTATTGTTAATGCAAACAAACAATAATTATTATAGAAATGTATGTCCAACTTTTGCTTCTATACATTTGCTCATTTGTTTTATCATTGGGTGTTTGACTCACTGGGTGTTTGTATCATTGACTCCACCAAAAATATTTCGTACAAATTTGCTGCATCCTTGTGACAAAAATGCCTACTGGTCTCTATTGGCTTTGAGTCTTCAAGCAATTTAGAAATATTTGAATATACATTTGACAATACAAGCTCCTGAACAAACACTATACGCTCTTTAAAACAGACAGTAGTATAAATGATCTAGTGAGAATACATCATAAGCCTGTTCATATTACCAGAGCTAAGGAAAACCAAAGACAAAAACAAATGCCATTGCAAGCAGCCCAATGATCAGTGTCATCTCCCATTGTGGTAAGTCAGAATTGGAAATGCAGGAGTCTACATCAACAGTAAATACCTCTGCACCTACTCTCCCCATATATTATCCACACACTTGCTTCCTTGCAATATTATACAACTCTAAAAAATTCTTGTTTTACCAGTAACTTGTTCAAGTGACTAGTGCAAATACATCCTTCATTATAAAACAAAGCAGTATATAAATAAAAACACTAACTTATCCCTTTTGTCATTAAACAGAAATTAACTGGTGTATTGTACGCAATTCTGTCATAAACAGAAGATGGTCTACAGTTCTCAATTTATTACTGTCTCAAAATACATTAATGAGGTCAGTAATTCTCAAACTCTAATTTAAAATCTGTCAACACGAGTTCAACCTCAGATGACATTCACGTGATGAACTATAACTGAGTGTGGTTAAGCCATGTGATAAAATCAGTTGACATTAAGCCATATTTTACTATTCTTATTTCAGATCAAAACACAATCTCTGAAACCATATAAGGCACAATCAGGGCAGCCACAATGCCATTTTACATTGATATATATGAGAGGGTACTTATGGAGAGCAGCTAAAGCAAAGAAACTATACTGAATGAAGAGCTTCAACCTCCTTTTCTAGCAGCTAGTTCCTAAAAGACAAGCACCCAGAGGACATATTATCCCTTTTAACAGAGTTTACAGATAAGAGCACTCATGTTGTAGTGCTCATCAAGAAACCAGCAAATCCTTACACATATAAAACAAGTGCATCAAGATGAGATCAACAAAAACAAATGTTCTTACTGAATTAAAGCTGACATCTGAATTGCAAAAAAAAAAGATCTCAAACACTGGTTGTTTACACAGTGCACCAGGACTCGGTCATATTCTGGGTGCATATGTATTAATAATTTTTGCATTTTATTTAGTAAAAAGAAACTTGACAACATGATTAATAATACAATTATTACAATTATCAGTTTGCCACAAAGGATGATAAGATATCCACTTATTTTGTTTGAAGTTATGGCATTTTGGAAGGGACTTGCCCAGAGGAAGAAAGCAGATATGAGGAACAGGCAGGAATTGAAACCTTTCCTGATTCCTCTTCAGCTGCTGGCTGTCCTCTGTTCCATCTCTGATCCTGGTTCTATCTGCCCTTCCACGGAGCATATCTAGCTCATGCTTAATTCTGGATGCTGCCCTACAGTGCAGTTCCTTATGGAATGCAATCCCTGCTGCATCTCCTTTAAAGATTTTTTTTCCCCAATTCTCCCCCTCCAGGTCAAAAGTCTGCAGGAAAGTGAAGTCCCTGCTGTTTTTGTGTAGAATTCTACAGGAGAAAGAGATATGAGATGGTGTTTTCCTGGCCATCATGTTAGGGGTTCAAAATTTCTCTACATTTGCTCTCAGCCTTTAGACAATTAAACAGCACTACTGGTGGGTTTTATTCTACACTACAAAGTTCTTACGTGGTTTTAACAAACTAGGGTTATCTACTATGACTTTTTACATTTTTCCATAAATGGGCAGATTTTTTCTCCACCAGAACAGGATCTACATCTTTCCATGATCCACAGCAGGTTAGACATGTAGCTTTGTTTTGGCAACGCAAAGGAAAACTTCAGATAATTATTAATCTATTTTTTCAATAAACAATTCAATTATGGATATATTTTTTCCTTCTCTTTTGTACATATCAGGTCACAGCCACAGTGTAAATATTCATTCAATTTACACATAGATACCACAACAAGGGGGGGGGGGGGGGGGGGGGGGGGGGGGGGTGTGGGGGTGGGGGGGGGTGGGGGGGGGGGGGGGGGTGTGTGTGTGTGTGTGTGTGTGCGTGTGTGTGTGTGTGTGTGTGTGCGTGTGTGTGTGTGTGTGTGTGTGCGTGTGTGTGTGTGTGTGTGTGTGCGTGTGTGTGTGTGTGTGTGTGTGCGTGTGTGTGTGTGTGTGTGTGTGCGTGTGTGTGTGTGTGTGTGTGTGCGTGTGTGTGTGTGTGTGTGTGTGCGTGTGTGTGTGTGTGTGTGTGTGCGTGTGTGTGTGTGTGTGTGTGTGCGTGTGTGTGTGTGTGTGTGTGTGCGTGTGTGTGTGTGTGTGTGTGTGTGTGTGTGTGTTCTCTCTAATACAGATTTAGGCTAGAAATGAGTTGTGATAATGCCAGTCATTTGAAGACCGCATCACCAGAGAAGTCCATAGAAACTTTTAGTATCTTAGGTGAAATACCCACTGGTCACAAGGTAGCACCATTGCACAAAATATACAATTGCTTAGCTAAAAATACAACTAATGCTTACAGCCTTATATAGTTCTCACTGAAATCTTCCAATTACTTTCTGTGCGAACTGAAACAGGCACTTAAGAGTGGGATTCATCCCACGACTCGGTGGTAAACATTAGGGGATACAGATTATACAGACAGGATAGAAGGGGGAGGAAAGGCAGGGGTGTGGCGCTCTACCTCAAAGAGCATTACACATCAACTAACAGGATGGGGTCAGAGGAGGGGCAGACTGAAGTGCTCTGGGTCAGAATACAGGGGGGTCATGGGAAAAGGGACTTAACAGTGGGGTCTACTCCAGACCACCCAACCAAGAGGAAGAGCTGGACTGCGAATTCTCAGGTCAGCTCGTAGAGGCAGTTAAGTCAAGGGATGTAGTCATTATAGGTGATCTAAATTACCCAGACATCTGCTGGGAGGAGCAGTCAGCCAGGTCTGACTGTTCACGAACGTTCCTTGCTAAGATACAGGACCTCCACGTAACCCAGGAGGTGCACAGTCCCACCAGGGGGAATGCCCTGGTGGCCACAAGCAATGACCTGGTGAAGGGAGTCCAGGTTCTTGACCACCTGGGAGACAGTGATCATCGCCTGCTGGAATTCACCATCCAGCACAGGGTATCAACGGCCGGCAGCAAGGCAGTAGCCCTTGACTTTAAGTGGGTCAATTTCAATGAGTTGAGATTTGTAGGAGGGGCACTGGGGTCCTAGAGGGTAGGGGAACTGGGTGTCCAAGACAAGTGGTCATTCCTTAACGAGACGATCCTCTGAGCAAAAGGGTGACAGTCCCAATGAGGATCAAAAGGGGCAATAGTGCTCAAAAGCCCCCCTGGCTCACCAAAGGCATTCAGCCAAAAAGGAGGCATACACCCAGTTGAAGGGAGGGGCTATCACCAAAGAGGAGTATACCTCCATCACTCAGGTCTGTAGGGGGGCTGTTAGGAAAGCTAAGGCAGATACGGAACTAGGGTTAGCATCAAGGATCAAGGACAACAAAAAGACTTTTTAAATACATAGGGAGTATGAAGAAGGCACCGGGTAACATGGGGCCCCTGCAGGATACGCTTGGAAATCTGGTGGTTGCACCAGAGGAAAAAGCAGACCTTTTTAACAAATTCTTTGTCTCCATTTTTTTGTGCAGGGACCAGGACATCTCCCCCAACCGAGATTCAGGACGGACTCAGGAGAGACTCCGCCAGGCCTAGGGTCAGGGAGGACCAAGTTAGGGAACTTCTGGAGGTGCTGGACGTGTTCAAATCAGGTCCAGATGCTCTCCACCCCAAGGTGCTGAGGGAATTAGCAGGAGTTATCGCAGGCTCCCTGGCATGGCTTTACGATCACTTGTGGTGCTCTGGCTAGGTGCCAGAAGACTGGAAGAAGGTCAGTGTGGTCCCCATTTTCAAAAAAGGGAGGAGGGAGGACCCGGGCAACTATAGGGCCATTAGTCTTACTTCGATCCTGGGGAAGCTCTTTGAGAAGATTACCAAGGAGCACATCTGTGAAGGACCAGCAGGGGGGATGATGCTCAGGGGCCACTAGCATGGATTCATTAGGGGCAGGTCCTGTCAGACCAACCTGATTGCCTTCTACGATCAGGTCACAAAACCATTGGATGCAGGTGTCGTGGTAGATGTAGTTTTTCTGGACTTCAGGAAGGCCTTTGACACTGTCTCCCACCCCATTCTCATTAAAAAGCTAGGCGACTGTGGCATTGATGCCTACACAGTCAGATGGGTCACAAATTGGCTGAGGGGCTGCACCCAGAGAGTGGTGGTGGACAGGTCATATTAGACCTGGAGGGATGTGGGCCACTAGGGCTCACTGTTCGATTTTTTTATTAGCTACTTGGATGAGGGGGTGAAAAGCACCCTGTTCAAATTCGCTGACGACACCAAGATTTAGGGTGAGGTATGCATGCTAGAAGGGAGGGACAGGATACAACTGGACCTGGACAGGTTACAGGGGTGGGCAAATGAGAATAGGATGGGATTCAATGCTGACAAGTCCAGGGTACTGCACTTGGGCAGTAAGAACCAGCAGCATACCTATAGACTGGGGAACTCCCTTCTTGTAAGCACAGTGACAGAAAGGGACCTTGGAGTCATTATTGATTCCAAAATGACATGGGTCGCTAATGTGAGGACGCAGTCAGTAAAGCTAACCGCACCTTGTCATGCATCCACAGATACATCCCGAGCAGGGCCAAGGAGGTGATCCTCCCCCTCTGTGTGACACTGGTCAGGCCACAGTTGGAGTACTGCATCCAGTTCTGGGCGTTGCACTTTAGGAGGGATGTGGCCAGCATCAAGAGGGTCCAGAGGAGGGCCACTCGCATGATCCAGGGACAGCAGGGCAGACCCTATGAGGAGAGGCTGCAGGACCTAAACCTATCCAGCCTTCACAAGAGAAGGCTGAGAGGGGACCTGGTGGCCATCTATAAACTTACCGGGGGGACCAGTGGGGAATGGGAGAGACCCTGTTTCCCCAAGCACGTCCCAGAGTAACAAGGAATAACGGCCATAAGTCGTTTGAGAGTAGGTTCAGGCTGGACATCAGGAGGCACTACTTCACAGTCAGGGCGGCTAGGATCTGGAACCAACTTCCAAGGGAAGTGGTGCTGGCTCCTACCTTGGGGGTCTTTAAGAGGAGGCCTGATAATTACCTAGCTGGGGTCATATGAGCTCAAACCTACCAGGGGTCATATGAGCCCAGTATTCATTTCTGCCCAGGGCATGGGGACGAACTTGATGATCTACTTAGGTCCCTTCCGACCCTACATCTATGAAACTATGAAAAGCAGCTTCAACTTATAGGTCCCTAACATAAACCATCTTATTGATGATTTTGTAATCCTTTTCTCCTAGAGATAAAGAATTTTAGGGAGCCTCTCAGATGTTCATAGCAAGTGTCCTGATTCACTGGGAGACTCAGATATGAAATAGAGAACTTTCAATTCCTAAATTCTACATTCTCAGGCAGACTGCCCCACTCCCAGTACCACCATCACCCACCCTGAGTGGAGCCCGGCCCAATGCCCCTGCCGAAGAGCCTGGCACAGCCCCAGCCCCAACCCCAACCCCAGCCCACTGTGGCAGCCTGCTCGCCTCATGCAGATCCAGCGGCACATGCCCCCCCACCTAGAAAACACTTTTTACTACTAGAGCAAACAAATATGACTTCAAAATCCCCAACACACCAACAGGGAAATGTACCATGGCATTTTTACAGGCACACTTTGGAGACCTGCACCTGAGTTCTGAAGACTAGCAAGAAAGGGCCCCTTCTGAAGTGCAACATTAATGTGATAGGCACAAAGCCTTTGAAATATTCCTTCTGATTAATGAGTTTCTGCTTTAGAAACATGTTGGTTGCAGTCTTCTAAGTCATCTAAAATATGACCTAACCACAGCAAAAGAACCAACATTCCAAGAGTTTAATTGTACTTTTCAGACAAGTTGATAATTCCAACTTCAGCTTCCATAGATTAACAATGTAGCCTTTAAAAATCTAAATAATACCTTGAGCTGTTACAAGTTTTAACAAAGCTTCCAGATGTTCTTTTTCAGAAGCTGTAGCTTGGTGCAGCCAGGCCAACATATCTCCTACATATCTAAGTTAGAACAAAAATTGTTACCATGGATTAAGGGTTTTTTTGTACAAATGACAAAAAAAAGATTGAGCAATATACAGTTTCACTACAGTTGTACCTCAATGGATCATGGGAGTGCATCTCAATAGGTCGGGGAGTACCACCAGGACCTCCTCTGGTAAGAGCATCTATAAAACCACGGACTACTGAACTTCTTCTAGCTGTTCCAAACTCATCCAGAGTGTATCTGTAATTGAAATACAAAAAGTCAAAAGAGCCATTCTGTTCTTAAAATTTAGATTAACCTAATTTAAAGAGACTAACACCAGGTACCCTTTTTTTTTTTGCACTATCTAATGTTACATCAACACATGCAGGGACTCCAAACTTTCTCATTTGTGTTACCACTAAAAATCTCATTCAAGATGACATTGCTTCTGCCACAGGAAAAGAGTGCAATCGAAAAATGAAATATAGAAGTCACAGCATTTATTAGAACCACAGAATCGGAAGGGACCTTAAGTCCTATGCCCTGCCCAGATTCAGAATAAGCTATTTATAAACACATCTCAGAGAGATGTCTATCCAGGTTATTCTTGACAGCCTCCACAGATGGAGACTCCACAACCTCCCTATGCAGTTTGTTCCTTTGTCATGCTACTCTCAGTAAGGATTTTTTCCCCTGAGTTTCAATAAAATATAAATCTGCTTGGTAGTAATTTGAATTCATAGTTTCTTTTCCTACTCTGTGGCAAAGGAGGACAATTTTTCTTCTCTTGTTTCTGGCAGCCTTTCAAATATTTGAAAACTACTATCATGTTTGCTTCATATAACACTGGCTGATATTAAAAAAAATACATTTTCTCATATAAAAGGTATCAAGTATTTTTCCCTAACAGGCCCTGATTCCACTTTAACCAGACTCCCTTTATGTTCACTTACCGCTACCCAAAGTTGAAGGAATAAATAACAAAAGTTTTATTCATCTTGATTATAAATTATTATTTGCTTTATTTTTCTCTGTTGCAGAGTAAGCACACTGAGAGCAACTTAAATTTCTACACAATCAATTATATTTTAACACCTAAATGTAAGTGTGCAGAGTGCCTCTGTACGGTAGTAACAAATAAATAAAATATGTTATTTGATGAGTCGAGTGAACATGTATGTTGAAATACGTTTAAAAACTTGCAAAAGGTAACTTATTAAAAGCACCAGAGACCAGGTATGCTGATTATTGACAGAACAGGAACAGCAGCTCCTCACTGAAAAGTATAGAAGACCACAAACCAAATAAGCTTATTTTTTTCAAGCAAGCAATGATATAATAGAAAACCACAAATACAACAGCTAAGTCTTATGATATTGCTTTTCTCATTGGTTTTGAAAATGGTAATATACTACTGAAAATTTTATTGGTAAGAGGAACAGAAAATTCTGTTTTCCTTCTTGCTCTCAGTAGAATCTAACATAACTGACCTGATCCTTCACACACAAAAATTCAGTAACATCTATTGTATGTAATAGAGTATTTACTATTACTTTATTATAAACATTCATTATGAGGAAGGAAAACAGTATTTGGATTCTTTTCATCTCTGCAACAATGGATCAAACTCCCAATAGGGCTTAATCACTAGCAAGGAGAGGAGGGAAAGGGGTGAAGAAAAAACTTCAAAAATAAGATGGGAAATGTGCTTTCATGATCAAGCTACACATAAAGAAAATGCAAAGTTTTCAGATTTGATTTTATTCTGTTGGGAAAAAGAAGGGCACCCAAATGAAGTATTTATTTCAGTTGCACTGTAACGAATGCAATTCCCAGAAGTGAGCTGTCAGTGGTGCAAGGTTTCTGTTATCTAAGGTTAACCAGAAAAAAACCAAAAATATAAAACCAAAAATCTGCAGGTTCGTTTCCTAACTCTTGCCCTTCTCATTTTGCTCAGGCCTTTGCTTATCTGATTCCGATTATATGTATGAGATGCAGGAAAATGAGGGTTTTTCCTGAGAATGCAACAGACTTCTGGTTTGTATAGCACTGCTTAAAACTCTGAAAATTGTACGAAGGAGAAAAATGAGTGTTTTCAAAAGTATAAGTCATAACTGTGTGGTTGGCTTCGTGTAAGGGAAATAGAGTATTTGAAAGTGAAGGTGGGGAGGTTGGAATTAGACCACCAGGAACATTAAAAAAGAAAAACAAACAAAAAATCCCTAAATTTCCAAGTCACCACAACAGTACAGTGTGAGAACTTATATCCTCCTTATGGGGATATCACTCACGATTCATTAGAATACAAGAGTTGACACATTTTTTCAGATAAAACTATTCTAGACACACTAACCAATAATAATCTCTCCAATACTAAAAATGTAAAATCAAAAAACCTAAACATATTTTCTGGTTGCAATCTTTGTGTCAAAAACATTTAGATTCAGGGGTGGGCACTTATTTCAGGCAGAGGGCTGCTTACCAAGTTCTGGCAAGCTATCAAAGTCCACATGGGTAGGTGCCCCACCCCCTGGTTGCCATCTTGGGACTAGAAGTCCTGCCCGTAACCTCTGACTTCTGCCACTGGAAGTCCCTCCCCTTGCCCCTGGAAGTACTCTTTGGGGAAGAGGATTTGCCATCTTAGGGGAAAAACAAAAAAATTACATACTAAAAATCAAAACACCCATAATAATGTATTTTAATTTAATTTTAAAAAGATTTTTGTCCTGATTTGTGTGCATTCATGCTGTATATGCAGAAGTGATTGCATAAAAGCTCAGAACGCAGTCTTACTCTTGTATATTGTGTGGAGTGTTGTGGGGTATGGGTGGGTGGGTGTGGGGTTTGTGGGGATATCTGTGTGGGGGAATGGATGTGGGTATGGGAGCGGGGCGGTAGGAGTATGTGGCATGGGCTGTGGAGCTGGGCTGGGCTGCACCAGCAGGGAGAGGAGGGAGCTGACTCAGCTCCATAGAGCCTCTGCCGGCCGGAACCCTGTGCTCCTACCGCCCTGCTCTGGGCCCTGCCGGCAGGATACCAGCATGGACCCCATGCTCCCATCTGGCTGCCGCTGGCTCCTCCTCACTCCCAGGGCCCCTGCCCCAGCCCCAGGGTACAGACAAGGATGAGTGCACAGCCCCTAGCCTGTATGCCCTGCACTGCCCATCTCAGCTAAGCATCGGCAGTAGGAAACAGACTGGTGCTCACTGCAGGAGAAAAACTGCCGCTCCCTCTCCCCGTGGCCGGCGCTTCCTGGTGCAGCCGCTTGCAGCCTGCGCAGGGCTGTCCTGCCTCTCCCCCATGTCACCACTGCCCTGTGGGGCAGCAGTGGCAATGGAGAGCAGACACAGGCAGCCCCACACAGACTCTGAGCAGGTGCAGCATGGGGGCATTGGCAGCAGGAGGGGGAGGGCCGCTTCCTCTTGCTTCTACTCCCCCCGCCCTCTCCCACTTTCCCGCCTGCCTGCTGGCCACTCTGCACTACATGGCTCCCAGCTGCCTGGCCAGACCATGGGATGCAGCGGGAGCTGGCCAGGCCTCAAGGACTAGGACGATCCCTGCAGTCCTCCCCTGCCTGGCCAGGCCTCAAGGACTGGGCAATGCCTGCAGTCCTCCCCTGCTTGGCCCCCACTTCTTACCTGAATTTCCTGGTCCCATACAAACAGGG